TGCTATAGTTGGCAAATACTGCTACTGTAGGCAAAACTAGTGTCACTAGCAGACATGATTTTATTTGGAAGACTGTGCATACAAGGCAATGGTGGAATAAGTTATGCCAGTTAGTGAACTATTTTGCTAGCATGAGTAGCGTGAAACTATATGTACTATGTAAGCATAGCTCCTCATTGGAGCAGCTTTAAGGGCCCTTCCAGCCTTAACTATTCTATGATAGCTGATCTTGTGCATAGACTATACTCTTACACTGCTACCTACACACAGAAATTAAACCAGGGCTTTTCATCATAGTTTCTATAAGATACAGCATCATTTTGTCCACATTGCCATATTTTCATTTAAAACAGATCACAGTCACATTTAAACACACTTTCATATAAACAGCATCATAGGCAGGAAATTCTGTATGATTTTACTATGTGGTGATTTAGGGAAAAAAATTAAAAATTAATTAGGTTTTTTTAGTGTGGGGTGGTTTTTTTAGTGTTTGTTTTGTTTGTTTTTTAGGTCCTCCCTCACCATGAAGAGGGCAGCTTGGAGATAGCAGGATGACATAGCTAGAAAGAATGATGGTAAGTGAGGAAAAAAAAGAATCTTGAAAGGGATTGTTATCATTAAATTATTGCATGAAGAGAAGAGAAGAAAGGAGGACAAATATAGTGAGGTGGAGACTATGCTATGCTGAAGCAAGGGCAGAGGGAAAGCAACAGGATTTGACTGGGGAAGTCACACTGGGGGTGAAAGAATGGATTTTTACAGTGGCATCTGGGCAAGTTTGCATTTTGTATCTCATTCCATTCCAAAGTCCAGAGGTGAAAGATTCATGAACTATCTAAGATGGCAGATAGCTAGAGGCAATAGAGATTTTAGAGCTTCATAATTTAATCACAATCCCATGCTTTGTATGGCAAACTGAACCTAACAGTCCTAGGGACAGAACTTCTGTTTGCACTCATCAGCATAGCAAAAGTAGCTGGTGCCCTCTTTTTTCCCCGATTTCCTGTGAAATTCAACTTTAAAGACTGCTCAGCGCTGTGATTTTATGCGACTTTCCATTCAACCTACATTTTTGGGGCTAAAACACAGACACACCACAAAAGCTGCTGTTGTGACAAAGTGTTGCTGTGCAGTGGAAAGATGGCAGGAGAAACTGGAATTTGAGACAGAAGGCTGCTGGAAGTGGAAATGGGTGGTGTCCCAGAAGACCAACACAGCTCTTCTACCCTTAGGGCCTGAGGGTGGAGGCAGCTGAGGCTTTGACTAGGAAGAGGAGAAGGACAGAGCAGGTAGAAGAGAAGTAAGGGGGCCATTAACTTGTGAAGAACAGATAGCAATGAGCAACTAGAAGGGGTTGGTCTGGAAAAATCTTGTATGTGAACAGTTGATTTGGGCCTCTCAACCACTGAGGAGTGTACAAGTAACTGGGTATTTGCATGGTCTTTCCTCCAAAGTCTATATAACTAAAAGGAGGAAACAGAAGTTAAAAGTTGAATGTGGACTTTGATGCCCAGTTCTGTCACAAGGAGCATTCTCTGGCTTACTTTGAAATGCTAGTTTCTTTCCTGCTTGAGTTTATCTGTTCTTTTGTCTTGTTCAAGTCCATTGATGCAATAAACTGTTAAAATTTGACTTGAAAAACCAGATTGAGTTTCTAAGTTTGTTTGCTACAATACACTATTAACAGAAATTAGAACTACTGTAATAAAAATACTTTCTTACAGTGCAAAAACTAGTGTTCATATACTCCTCATTAATTTTCTCTAAAAGTAAATATTCCCCATGATAAAATATTCTATACATAGAAGATATCAGTTTACAGTTAAATATGATTTCACTCCCAAAGTAATTAATTTTCTGCTTATACTCTTCCAAGAAGAAATGATACAAGAAAATCCTCTGGTAAATAAAAGACCTATGAGTTACACTCAAGCTATCTCTATCAGTAGAAAATTAGTCTACGGAAGTTAAACCACAAAATAGTCTGCAAGTTTGGTGCTGTATCTTTTGAGTTCTTAACTTCCTCTTACCTTTGCTACCTACCATCCCTGATTATGAGTGCATCTCTTTATGTATGGATTTGGAGCATAATTTTTTTTTCTCAAGTTCACACTGAAATCAAGGTACACTAGGGCCTGCTGTGACAGCATGGCTATCACTCGTGTATTCAATCCACACTTCAGAAAACTGCTCAAAGTACCAAATTATTTGTATTCATCACATAATTTATCTCATGATAAATAAGCCTTGGAATTAATTTTTCCTGGCTATATGGAAGCAATTAGAACAATGTACTCTGAAGGAATACTTGTATAATACAGTGCAAACCTTATAACAAACACTATATAAATTTAATATTGAAATTCCATAGGGTTCCAGCATTTCCAGCCAACTGATATTAAAGTTGAGTGACTCAACTGCAAACAATGTCCATACCACAACATGTTAGTTAAAGACGCACATAAGAAAATAGTTCTTACTGTTTCAATAAACAAACAAATTGGGTATGCTAAGAATTCAGATCTGACATAAGACTTGCTATAATGCAACAAAAATCCAGGTCTGGTAGGCTCAAATATATTCATGGAGAATAGATGAGCTCAGCAAAACCACATAATACCTAGTTTTTAGGTCTACACTTAAAAAAAAAAATCAAAAGTTCTACTCTCAGACACTGACTCAACAGCAGTGCTACTTCAATTTTTGCTGCTACAAAGCAGAAATTTTAAGAAAGCTGTCTTTAGAAAAATGTGAACTGTAATTACACCAAATGAAACTGTTTGGTAGGAGTATTTCTTGGCATTGTATCTTGGCATATGGAGGAAGGTAGGTTTTTAACGTAATTATTTTGTTCATGTAACATTCAGTACAAACTCTGAAGCATCTATGTGTCTTCTCTGCAGACAGGAGGCTATAACTGGGAAGCCAACTACACTGTCAAGAAGTCACGTAGCACAAGGGGGTATTTTGGCTGTTACAAAGAAGGAAGAAATGGCTGCCACCATGTTATGCTGATACCTTCCTATATTTGCACATCTCTGCTAAATTTATTCTATGAATATGTACTCATGGGAAGTTCTGCCGTAAGTTTTAGAAGTCCTGATTCTGTAGTAAGGCCATGTAGCCAAGTACCCAGGTTTTTGCCTAAGTAGGTATTTTGACATGCTCGATTGAAGCATGTATGCACTTACACTGTGCATAGTGAGAACACTCACGTTTGACAAATGCGTGTTCTCACATTCCCTGCACAACTAGGGTGATTTAGCCATAAGGAGAAGAGAAAAAGTAGCTGTTAATACTTCAAGATAACACAGGAGAGCAGAGATACCTTCTTCTTTTCCTTATTTTAAAATAATATTAAAACTTCAGGCAAGATGAGCCAGGGGTGTGATGGCTGCCTTTCTTGTTAGGGCTTCTGAATCAGTTCACACACAAGCTGTGGACCATTATAGCCCTCACATAGAGGCCCCCTCTGATGATCCCCATCATTTGCAAAGGTGCAGAAGATGCATCCCAACTAGTTTTATCACAGCAGAGTGCGTGTTTTATTTCTTTATGTACCAGTAACTCTACTGATGGCATCAAGCTTTCTATCCTATCACTTCCATCTTCAGGCAGCTAGTTCAGACCTGAAACCATTTAAACTATTTTAGACTATTTAAGGTGATCAATTGCAGACAATGAGGAAATTCACTGTCTTCTTCTCCCTGTCCGTTGAGCTTTCCACAGAGTTCTTGCCTGGGTCTCCTCTCCCAGGTAACAAGAAAGAGGATGAGAGGAAATGGCCTCAAGTGGCACCAGGGGAGGTTTAGATTAGATATTAGGAAAAATGTCTTCACTGAAAGGATTGTCAGACAGAATGGGCTGTCTAGGGAAATACCTCCCTGGAGGTATTTGAAAGATGGGTAGATGTGTTGTTTAAAGACATGGTTTAGTACTGGCCAGGTTACGGCCTGTATGATCTAAATGATCTAAAGATCTCTTCTGACCAAATGATACTATGATTCTATGCAGCCTGCTAGCTTTTATTAGGTGTGCCTGGCTGAGGAATATAAGGGTCATTGCAGCTCTTAAAGTACACACCCCCCATATTTCAGCAGTATGGAAAGAACAGATATCAAGAAATGCCATTCCACCAAAATTAGCTTTACAAGGAGTTATTCTGATTTGTATGAAGGCTTCTGGGGAGAGGGAGAGAGACTTGAGAATGGTTTATAAATTGAGTGCTTAAGTATGAGTTATTTTAGGAAAAATATTTTTCAGTATCTCATTCTTATTTTTCAGGGGGAGGAAAAGTTTCTATGCTGCTATAATCTGAAACAGGACTTCTTTTAACTATTCAGAAAAAAAAAAGTCACAATGGAAGAGCCTTGAGAGCCAACTCCACCAGCACACCAATCGAGTCACACTAAAAATACTTCAGTAATGGTCAGCTTCTGCTTTTTTCCTCTCAAACCCTATATTTAACGTTGTTTTTCACTTAGGAACATTTCCCATTTTGCAGTTCCCTCTATTCCACTAATTCTTTTGAAGATTAGGAAATACTACTGCAAAGAATTTAACTGCAAAAGCCATCTTCATAGGACACTTATTAAAACATTAAGCGATTAATTTTTTCTAATTTGGATAAGGCTTATACATCTTAGCGAGTCAAAGACTGTTTTTACAGCTTTTAAAACAGACACTTTAAAATATGCTTCTTTTCACTACAGATGAAGCAGAGTCACATTTTGCTTTGAATCTGCGCTGCTCCAGACCTGTATTTACCTCCGCACTTCCCTGTACCGCCCTGGCGACCAGTAAGAAATTCGTTTTACTTTAAAACTTCTACCAACTTCCTTGTGCCTCAGAGTTTCCCAATCCTTCCTAACTCCAAGGCGGGAAGTGGTTCCCTGTCATCCCTCCCAGCCCGACCTCGTCGAGCTCTGCACCCTCAGGACCCTCATGGGAACCCGCTCCGCACTCGCAGACGGCACTGAGAGCAGACCAGACCCTACCTGAACTTCTCCCCGGCTGGCACAGTCAGCTTGTTCAGCTTCTCCATGCTCTTCGTCCAGACCCAGCACCTGCCGGCACAGCCCCTCCCTCCTGCCGGGCACACCTCGGCTCCCTCCCGATACTGGGATGCGGAGCACTGCGGAAGCTTGTCTGCCAATAAAGCCTCCGCTGGGTTAAACCGCGGCCGCTGTCGGGCTATGGAAGACTCTTTCCGTCCTACCCACAGGCAGTTGCAGAGGAGGGACCCGGTGCTTGGGACACTCGGCCTCGGCCCCGCCCCCTCCCCGTCTGGCGGCGCGCACAGGTGGCTGTGGAACCGGGAGCCGAGCTGGAGCCTTTGCAATGAGAACGTAAGGCCTCGCTAATCCGCTCCTCCCTTTAGGCCTTTCGGAGCGCCTTAGGGAAGTACTGGATTGGTCTCGGAGGAAGATGAGCCAGCAGTTCAGAGCCCCTGTTTTTACAGCGGGTTGGATTTAGATAAGCTTCAGTGGGCCAGGTCGTGTGCCCTCAGCTGAGCGTCCAGCTCCAGGTGACTTTGCAGCCTGCGTGACCTGATGCAGGTGCTTGGCTCCCTTCCTCTCCCTACTCCCCTCCACTTCTCAGTGAAGATGCACCAGGTAGCAATATGCTGCCATGGGGGCTTTTCCTTTCCCAGAGGTTCTCCAGCAAGAGTAGAGAAAATTGTCTCCTTGTCTCCAGCTTTTTGAATATCGGTCAGGAAAAAAAAAAATCCTTATCCTGTTTCTTAAACTAAGGCAGGAGCAAACCCAGATCCTTCCGGGGCAAGGCTATTCCCACCCAAGATGTAGGCAGCTGATCTGTTTGGCTCTGATAACTCTCAGACTGGGATTTTTTTTTCTTGCTCTTGGTCTCAAACATTTTTTCCTCTTTAAAGATGAAATTTATAGACAGCTGGTTGTTTCTGAGAGGCAATGTGAGCAGCTATTCATGCTCAGCCTTTACCCTGAAGTGCCGATTAATTTGAATTCTGGGATGTTATTGGGTGACTCTTTTTGTTCTCTTTCTGTATCTTTGGCCTGTCTGCTGCTTAGTTTATAAGCTAAGGCTGCTCTAGGCAGGAAACCACCTCCTTCTTTTTTAAAAATGTACATCTGCATCATGTTAATATGTTTTGATGAGTACAATATATTTTGAGGACATTCAAAGTTACTTCTTGGGGAGATTCTCATTGCCACTTAGGCTAGTTTTTCATATGGATGTGTCTCTTCCCTAGATTGTACTGACTATAGTTTTTTTCTCGTGAAAATGCAGTGGAAAAACAGACTTTCCTGGTTAGTGCAGATGACTATGGGGAAACAGTCTGCCATGAGATTTGTGTCTTTGATAATGGTATTGCTCTGATTTTGGCAGGGATGATTATATTGGTCTCTGAGCTTTCAACGTGAAAATCACTGGATATCTGCATACAGTATGCCTCTAGGGAGGGCCCACAGTAAATAAATTGCTCTTTTTGTGGTATCTTATAAAGTATATGGAATTTAGGGAAAAATATAATAATGTTGAATGTAGTTTATGACATAAATCTCTGGAATTCCACCCTGCATTGTGTCTGGTTGTGAACGGGACACCTTTGCAAGTTTACTCCCCAAAAGTTATTTTGAAAATTAAAGTAAGTTTGAATCAGTTAAAATTAACACTCTGACTATGTGAAGAAGTGGGTATAAATACATTGCAGTATCATTTTGCTTTTTGCTTATATAATCTTCCCTCTATATCTAATCATATGTCAGAATTCAGGATTCGCTCAGTAGGCTCATGAAGTGATTTCTCTCATACAAGGCCTCTTGCCTGACTGTCGCAGAAATCCCAGACTATTTCCCTTTGCAATCTTTGGTGGCAGCCTGTCATTTGCACTGCCCTACTGGTTTCACCTTGTTTCTTCCTGACTCACCAGTTTACAGGGTTAGTTTTAATGCTCTGCGGTGCCTGGTGTGGAGGGCTTTCATGCCTGCCCTTGCAGTGCTGTCATCTTGCTGCTCCTGGGAAGGGGCCACGGCTGATGCCTCGTGCTCTGGGCAGTCCCTGAGTCCCCTGTGCTCAGGGCTCGGTGACAGTGCAGCTCACAGACGATCTCTCATCCCTGTGATCTGCTGGCCCATGTGTTTGTGTAGCTGTGCAGTGAAAGGACTGGAGAAGGAGTCCACAACAAGTTATGAAGCAAACAGTCATAAAAAGGGGGTTTTAACTGCATCAATTCCTTGATTTGATTTGCTGCAAAGGTGTTTGTGAGGTTGCAGCATGGAGTGGGAGGGATAGGGGGTGTGACAGCTTATACTGGTACTACTGCCAAGAAGTTACTCCTGTAAAAGTCTCCATTGCACAAGACTTGTTCATGAGATTTTTGTGGCATGTGCCATGCCTGACCTCTGGTCATACCTCAGCCTGCTTGCTTCTTCCATGCACACACATGGCCCAGTACACAGCCCTGCTTCACTTCAATATCTACAAGCAGTCTGTAGCCAAAAAAATCCCAAACCCTTTCCTACTACTTCATCAGGGCTTGTTTGGAAAGCAGTACAGGGAAGGGAGGTAAATGCTTATCCCCACTGCCGTGGCCCTCTAAATGCTTACACAGGGCATCTCTTACTTCATATCCATTCCTGTCAAGTCACACTGGCACTGGGATTTTTTTATTGTGAGGAAAAGAGTCCTGGCATAAAATTAGAAGAGGTCACTTCTACCAGGAATGTGGCCTAGTCTGGCACTCTTTGCTCATGCAGAACATGGGCAAAGAATAAATTAGCCTCTTTGTCTCCAGAAAGCACATACAGCACCCAGTATTCCATAGTTATCTAAAACCCAAAGCATCAGAGAGACAGTGGTTTCTCCTGGCCACCTTGGAAGATGCTGTTCCTGGGAAACTAATCAAGAGTCAAGTGTAGGCAAAGTCCTGAGATTAGGAGAAGGAAGCCACTCTCCCCGAAATGTCAAACACAGCCTTTTTAGTTACAGTGAAATTC